TCAATTCTCAGCCAGGTAAGATACACAGTTGTGGTGGTACCATTCAAAGAACAGTCAGCAGTACCCTCTACAGGCTAGTAAAGAGAACACAGTCTCAGGGGACAGCTCAGATAGCTTAAAATACAAGTTTCTAAATTAAAAAAAAAACAACAAAGACTACAAAAGCAGAGGTGAGGTACTGGAACAGGCTGCCCAGAGAGGCTGTGGATGCCCCATTGCTGGGGGTGTTCAAGGCCAGATTGGATGGGGCCCTGAGCAGCCTGGTCTAGCATTAAGTGGGATGATTGGTGGCCCTGCATGCGGCAGGGAGGTTGGAGATTCATGATCCTTGAGGTCCCTTCCAACCCTGGCAATTCTGTGATTCTGTAGTTGGTATTTTAGAATTAGATTGCAACCACAAAAAGAAGGCCCTTAAGAACTTCCAGATACATAAGAGACAAATTTTGCAAACTGATATAAAACATAAAACTTATATAAAACATACTTATACAAACGGCCATTGACAACTTCTGCATTATAGCCAGAATGAGTCATATTACTGCATTTTCAGCCACTAAATGTGAAATAGGAGAGGGAAAACACGGGGAGGGAGTCGAACGCAGCTCTTAAACTCCCACGCAGAAGTTACTCAGCAAACCTCCCTCTCTGCGTCACCTCACGCAGCTTTGCTGTTTAGAGCACACCGCTCCCGAAGCCCTCAGAAGCCGCGACTATCAGCACCGCCCGCCGGCGCGCAGCCTTACCCGGGGCGCGGGGCACATCGCGCAGCCGCAGCCGCAGGTGCAGGCCGTCCCCGTGCAGGCGCCGCAGCCCGCGGCAGGAGGACGGAGCCAGGCTGACCCCTGGCGGCAGCGCAGCCGCCCCGCAGGCGGAGCCGCTCCTCACTTCCAGCCGGTCCGGGGCCACCGAGATGTCGGCCGGCAGGTTCCGCAGGCTCGCCTCGCTGGAAAGGCAAAGCAATTTTCGTATTATTATTATTATTGTTTTTTTATCCCGCATAAGGAACTGCTATCTAGCACCGCGCAATGCGCAGGCCCCGCTCAGCCCCAAGAGGAGGGAGGGAGAGAAGGAGGGCGGAGGAGTTCCCGTGCTACCGGATAACGAGCAAGGCGCTCTGCGTCCCCCGCCGGATCTCCAGCAGGAAGGCGCACGCCATGCCGGCACAGCGGCTCCAACAGCCCGCGCAGGAAGGAAGCGGCTGCTTCTTCCGCCGCTCGAGCGCTGCAACCGCGGCCTCCCGCCGCAGCGCCGCCTGCGGCTGGGCGCCGGCGCTGTCCGGCCTGGCGGCCGCCTCACAGCGCTGCTCTCCTCTGCCCCGCTGCTCTCTTTTGCCCCCGCTGGTTCGTCCCGAGGGCAGCAGCCATAAGCAGACGCTAGGACGACAGAGGACGACAGAGGACTCCCTGCATCAACTCCTACCTCGCGTATTGTGTTCAGGTTTAGGCCCCTCACGGCGAGGAAGACATTGAAGTGCTAGGGTGTGTCCAGAAGCTGGTGAAGGATCTGGAGCACGAGGCTTGCACTGGGATAGTTCTGTTTGGAGAAGAGGAGGCTCAGGAAAAACTTCATTGCTCTCTATAATTCCCTGAAAGGAGGTTGTGGTTAGGTGGGAGTCAGCCTCCTCTCCCAAGTAACAGTGACAGGACAAGAAGGAATGGCCTCACATTGCGCCAGGACAAGTTCTGGTTGGATATTAGGATAACTTCTCGGAAAGAGTGGTGAGGCAGTGGCACAGGCTGCCCAGGGACGCAGTGCAGTCACTGTCTCTGGAGATATTTAAGAACCATGTGGATGTGGCACTGAGGATATTGTGGATATGTGTCAGTGGTTGGACTAGATCATCTTAGTGGTCTTTTCCAACCTTCATGATTCTATGATTTTTTATCTTCACTAAGTGGCCGCCAAGCTGCCACTCTTACCAGTCTCTCTTCTTATCCTGAATCACAAGCTGTCACACAGCCCGTTGTCCATCCCATACAAGAGTTCAGGCTGAGGGAGCTGGGCTTGTTCAGCCTGGAGAAAAGAAGGCTGCAGGGTGACCTCATGGCAGCCTTTCAGTACCTAAAGAGAGTCTATAAACAGGAGGGGAGTCAACACTTTGGAAGGGTAGATAACAGCAGGACAAGGGGAAATGGTTTTAAGTTGAGGGAGAGAAGATTTAGGCTTGATGTCAGGGAGAAGTTCTTTACTATGAGAGTGGTGAGGTGCTGGAACTGGATGCCCCGTCCCTGGAGGTGTTCAAGGCCAGGTTGGATAGGGCCCTGGGCAGGCTGGTCTAGTATTAAATGTGGGGTTGGTAGCCCTGCATGTGGCAGGGGAGTTGGAGATTTATGATCCTTGAGGTCTCTTCCAACCCAGGCCATTCTGAGATTCTATGAAGAGTTCCCCACATCCATGATGCTGCTCCACAGAGAAAGCAGCATCATCGGTGCCTCTGTGTACAAGCGGTTGGGAGCAGTAGGCCAAAAGTCCAGGTGGCAGATGGTGTCCTCCATCCTCCACAACAGTCACCAGCTGCCATCATTCGCCGCTTCCTCATAGTGGTCCTGCCAAGTACACGGGGCTTGGAGAGCTCCAGTGCTTCTTCAGAGGTGCCTTTCATCCTGTCATCTGCTACCATAGCACAGAGCCTGTTCTCCAATTGCAGATCTGCAGGTAGAGAAGACAGCATTCTCCTGTTGCCTGAAGTCACCAGCCATGAGCAGGGCTGACCCCCACCAGCTCAGCTGCCCAGGGTCCGTCCAACCTGGCCTCGAGTGCCTCCAGAGATGGGGTACCCACAGCTCTCTGGACAGCTGTGCCAGCACCTCACTGCCTTCTGAGTAAAGAACTTCCTCTTAACATCAAACTTAATCTACCCTCTCTCAGTTTAAAACCATTTCCCCTGGTCCTATCACTCTCTGCTTAAGAAGTTGGTCTCCAGCCCCATATGCACTGCTGACCTCTGGGTAAGAATTAAATCTCAGGTGCATTTGTATTGCCCTGTAACAAGAAGTAAGGGCCAACACACTGCTTTAATTGGAAATACAGGGTCTGTGGCTGTACTCGGCGCCTGCCTACATCCCAGGGAACTGCGGGCCTTCCAGAGCTGAACCTGAATTTATGCAGTACTGAGTCCTGAAATAATTCCATGAGGAAAGGATTCCCATCTCCTCTGCGTTACCGCACACCGTGAGAGCAAAGCCGGGCTCCTTCAGCTGCTGGCTGTTAACACAAGCCACGAGCAGGCAGCCTTAGAGCCGTGAGGAGAAGTCCCTCCAGGCTCGCTGCGACAACCCCCCCACCCGCTGCTGGCGCGGCGCTCCGCCAGGCGGCGCGGTGTGTCGGCGCGCGGGGCACGCCGGGAGCTGTCAGGGTGGCGCGGGGCGGCCGGTGGCGGCGCGGCTCTTCCGGCGGGGTCGCTGAGGTAAGGCGGCTCCCCGCCGTTCTCTGTTTCTTTCCCTTTCCCCCTTCGGCGGGCAGCGGGAGCCGAACCCGCCCTCCTCTCCCCGCAGACGGGCCCGCTTGCCGCCGCCTTCCCTACCGGCTCGCCGAGGAGGGCCGGGCCGGCGGCGCGTCCGCCCGAGGGCGGGCTGCAGGTGCGGGGGAACGCGGCCGGCCCGCTGGGCGCCGTGCGGCGGCTCACCTGTGGCGGTCGGCCCTGCCCGCTGCGCCCCGCGGGCTGCCCGGCAGCGCTGAGCGGGCCCCGCGGTGCGGAGCGCCGGCGCACGGCCGTGCCCTGCCTGAGGGGCGGGCAGACGCCGTGCCCGGGGAGCAGCCATCCTGCCCGGGGAGACGTCCTGCTACCCGGGCCCGAGCACGGGGCTGTCCCGCTTTGACCTTGAGCACGCCAGGGATGTGGGCCGCTGTTTGGTCCCGCTGGCCTCAGCGTGTGATGTTTGGTGGGCAGCGCCGTACGTCAGCCGTTTGTGCAGCACGGGGTTAAACTCCATCTGTTGATGCTGGAGTGGCCTTAGATTTTGTGGTGGTTAAATTTCATCTTGCGATGCCCACTTGTACAACGGCTTCTGTGTTGAACATTTTTACTAATAGCATTTGCACACCTGTTACAATATTCAGAGAGGCCTAAGTAATTTGCCTCTTTAAATGTCCTAAAATCTGCTGGAGATGAGCTTGCTTCTGGTGAGCTTGCTTTGGAGGAGTCCTTGCGTTCTCATTGCTGAGTAATTATCATTCCTGTGCCTTCTTCCCATATGCAGTAATGTTATGGGTCTCAGATAACTGCGCAGTTTGTTACCTGAGTTCTGCCTACAGGACTGGGAAGGGATGGAAGACTCTTAAACTGTAATCTTCTAGATGCTTGCCAGGGCACTGTGTAAGGTTGAGCATTGTAATTTTGTTGCCAGGCCTCCATCTGTACTTGTTCTAAATACCTATGTATCTAAATGTTTACATATCAAATGTGCTTTTCTTCTAAGTGTGGATAAATTTCCATAAAACAGGATGAAATACAATAATATCCTTCCTCATGTCTAATGATAGTATGATGCCTCGACACCGTGGTTATCCAAAAAGTACAGTCACCTTTAATATAACATGGATGAATGTTATAAGGGTGAATGCCAGTTTAGAAAAAGGCAAAATGTCAGCAGCATAATTCCTGGTTTTCTTCTAACTGAAATGAGAATAGGCACTTCTGGAATCTAAGTAGCCTGTAAATGAGAAATAGGTGAAGAGAGCTGCATTTCTGACTTAACTGCATGTCATATTTTCCCCACCTGTTGGTGACACTTGTGACAGCAGGTATTTAAACAGCATCTTGCACAAACAAGTAATCATACATCTTCCAGTAGGGCTGTGGCTGTGCATTTTAGCGCATGGTTTTGTTCATAGGGGAGGTTATATTTATTTTGGCAGTGCTTTTCTTGTGCATAAGTACTGGTATACTACAATGACCACTAGAAACACTCATCACATGCACTGCAAACTAAACTGGTAAGAATGCAGTCTGTCTGGTGTAGGTGGACTTAAATTGTATTCATCTGCCAGTATTACTCACTTGAATAAGGGGAGGGGGAATGATTCTCTTAGTTCATTAAGCTTAAGTTGTCTTGACCAGTTTTACTGTTCCCCACCTTTATTTTCTAGAGTTCTCTCACTTATCTGGGGAGGATTGCTTGGGTGAGACTGACTGAAGATATGTATTACTGTTTTACCTTTGTTGTTGCTTAAAAAAAATTTTTTTTTGAAAACAGTTGAGAAAAATAGGAAATAGAACAGAGACAGAACTTAGAGACAAAAACAGATAGCACCTGCTTAAGTATAGAATGAAAGAGCAGAACTTTTATACAGTAGAATTTACTTGTATGCATTTAAATTGCATTTCAGATTAATAATCACGTTGCCTTGACTTGTAGCTGAGAATGTTTTAAACTACAAATAATAAAAATAGAAACAGGTTTCTTCTCCTTTTCCCCACGCTCTTTGAGAGAAGCAGTGCAGGATCAACCATTTATCCCCAGTATCTGAAAAAAGAAGAATACAACACCAAAGCTACTCAGGAGATGGTTTTGCTGGTCAGTGCAACACTATTTTTATCATTTATATTTTAATTTGCTTATGTTCTATGGTATGTGCTTCCTCACTAGAGAGATTTTAGAGCATCTGTGTAGTTGAGCATGCATAACTGGAAGCATTGATGGATTTTTCCATTAGTAACATTTTCTGTGATCAGGAGGAACATTAGAAACTTGTACTTGAATATAACCATTTTTAAAAAAGTGAAGCTAAGGAATGGTGTTTTATCTAATTTGATTTCTAGTATCTTTGTAAATCAGAGAGAATTTCATCATTTATGTCCTTTCTGGTTTACTTCTGACAACGAGAAGGCAAACGAGTTTTGGTCCAACAGATTTGTTTCCAGAGCAGTCATCAGAAGACTCTACTTTACAAAGCTCTCTGTAATCCGTCTCCAGAACATGTGCAATCAAACACATGGCAAAATACAGCCACAATCTAGGTTATGTATGGGTATACATATGGCTTGTATTGTTACTTCAGAATTTAAATGAGCATCAAAAGATAGAAATTGGTAGAAATAAGAAATAAATGAATTAGTAACATCTTAAGATTTCAAAGTATATAAAAAAGGAGATTGGACAGAGTGTAACCCAAACTTGGCATTGGTAAGACTCAGTATGGAGAACTTATGGCTAAACACTTTTGTGAGCACTGAAAAGAAATATCAGCGTTGTTTGGAGACAGGAAGCCAAATTCACCTGAAGCTATGTATTTAAACAACAGGAATGGATGAATAAAAGGTTGAATTCTTCAATTTTAAAGTTATTGTGAGCAAAAAATAAAAAATACATAGGCTTTTTTTTTTTTTTTTTGAAGTTGGTGGATTTTACTTTCAATTCAGTGTTGGAATGCTGAAGATGTCACAATGTGAACTCGGTGCTAGGCTAGAAGCAAGGCTCCTCTTTGAGGAGGAGAATACCACGTACTCAGTGTAAGGTAATGAAACTCATGTGGTCCTTTCTTGTTTTCCAGGCTGAAATGTATCTATGAATTGGCAAACTTCTTTAAAGCAAATGTGGTACAAATTTGGGTTTAAATGGGTTTGAGTTGTTACTGTTGCTGTAGTGTTTTT